GGGTTGACACGAAAAGCGGGCAAGCAGAAGGCCGGCATCATGGCGGATCCGGTGACAACGGGGATCAAGGAAAAGGCTGCGGCGCAAGCGATTGTGTGGCCGGTTCAGGTGATTCGCAACAAGGTGGTCAAGATCATGACGGTGACAAGCAAGTTGGATATGACAAAGGCGGCACCGTCTGCTCGCCTGCTTTCGAGCAAATGCTTGCGGGATATGATTCAGCCATGGTGATCTCAGATGACGATGACGGCACACGACGAGCCGACGACGGTTTACCACATTCCGTCACCGCCCACGTTGCCGTTTGTGTCGCCCATCCGGGCAAGTATAGGGATTTCGAGCGCTGCATGCCAGTCGCGCAAACTCTGACATCCCAACCCGCGTCATTGCCACTAGAACAAGTAGCCTCCATTTAGCACCAAGCCAATAGCCATCACCCAGAACCAAGCACTGTACATCAACAACAACTGTATCGTTGCCACGGGCGTTTCGACTGGTTTCCACCAATCAAGGCACATCTGGTGCTGGTGCGCAATGCGTGTGTGGCAATGTGCACTGGAAGGGCACGTTTGGCGCGAATCACCATGGGCCGTTGCGGGTTGGAAATGACGGTGGACGCGGGTCAGGGTTCGGAGATGATGGATGCTTATGTACCAGCGTATCAACCTGCGCCGGGCCGTCAGTCGCAGGCTTGTTTTGTGAATGCCAAGGATATCGTTGCATGTCGATTGTCATGTTTTGGGGCGGCCGAAAGGATCTCTGGATGGTGTGGACGGGAGGGAATCCGGCAAGTCGATTGCCAAACCATCTGCGCCGCTTTCGTCCGGCGCGGAAAGCACGTGTAACCAGCTTCTATTTTGTTGTATAAATATCGAGGCAAAGAAATGCTAAACCAATTTCCATTGTTCCCATGAATGTTTTTTTGAGTACATGAGAAGTGTAAATACATGTATACATATACAGAAGGGTGAGACCAAAGAGGATACCTAGAGACACAATCTATCACGAACAGCAAGCAATCTACGTCTGTAGACACATATCGATCACAATCATCCGTCTCAGGACTCGGCGCCTTGGTTGATGGTGTACTTTGGCGGACGATACAAACGAGGCAAAATGTTCCACTGCAGAGCATTGAACGCATACGCAGGCTTGCCGACATTCTTCTCCACATTGCGAATCCTTGTCCCGCACGCGCGCATGGCTGTCAGCATGCCCTCGAAATCGCCCGGCGACATGAGATGCGCAGCTTGGAGGACAAAGCACTGTTCGAGCGTGACCGCCATGGAGCTGCGGTCCTTGGCCGACTTGCAGCTGGTAAAGCGCGTGGTGGTGGATGGGTGCGACCCAAAGGCCGGCAGCCGGTCGTGGACTTCGACATCACCGGCCATGAGCAAGTGCAATGAGCCCAATACACGGGTGATATGGGCGGCCATGACGAGAATGTCGGTATTCTTTGCGCGCGACCCGCCAGCGACAGCGCTCAGGGCGCGGCGCAATCCACCCATGGCGCCGCTCATCCCACTGCCGCTACCGCCCGATCCAGACCCGCTCGCAGACATGGGCGACGACCCGCCCGACAATTGGCTCTCGTCAACAATGGTCGACATGACGCCCGCCAATTTGATTTCGGAACCAGCCAAGATTTGGTCAAAGTGCACGACCAGCATGGTGACGTACTCGAAAAAGCTCCTGGACGAAATGGGACCCACGAGGTTTTGCGCCACGAGCGTACCGACATATTCGCGCAACGTGGCCACATAACGGGCGAGCTTGCTGTATGACGAGCGGTTGATGGCGTCTTGCTGCTTGATGCCCGACCCAAACACGTTGGAGAGCGTCTGCTGCTCATTGATGCCCTGCGTGAACAGCACAGCGTGCATGCGCGCCTTGGCATCGCGGCGCGGAATCGCATTGTACACGACATGCGGCACGCCCACAGACACAATCAAGTCGCCACGTTCACCCGAGATGCGAATCCGGTCCTCAAGCGACCACTCAATCACGGCCTTGGATTCTCCATCCTCAACGGGATGCAGCGCAACACGAACCGAGTCCTCCACATCTGCCAATGCGTTTCGGAAATCAGTCAGCATGCCCAGCTCGTCGCCTTGTGAGCTCAATAAGCTCTCCAACCCGGCCAACCAACCAACTTGAACCCACTGCGCCCAAGCCGCCGACGTGAACCTGAACCCGGTTTCGGCGCCGCCATTGACCTTGTCGCTTACCCACCACCCGCGCACCGTCTCTTCCAACCCAGTCACAATGGCGCCCAACATTTGCGAAAACACCCAATCCTTCCTGCGCCTGCTAGTCTGCCACCCACTCGGGCTCACATTGGTCGCATCCATGAGCAGCATGTGGTGATCGAGCAGCGCCACGGCCGAGTCATGTGCTAGCGTGACATGATCCGCGAGCTTGGCCAGCGTCTCTGCAAACGCCTCAAACGACTGGCCGTCGAGCAGCAGCGCAAGCTGTTGTCCGCGGACCGCAAGCAGCGGAATCACCTCCTCGACAAGCTGACATCCAACCTCGGTCACGTGCGCTTGAAACCCGCCCAGCGTTTCCACGTCGAGGTCCTTGAGCGACGAGGCAACCGCCATGACGAGCGTCGCCACGTCCTTGGCGGCAGTGCCGACCTTGGTGACGAGCGCAGCCACATTTTGGGCCTTGGCGCCCGTAAATGTTTCAAGCGTCAGCGATTGCAGCGTGCGGATCGAGTCGGTGAATGCGGCATGACGCAGGCCAAGGTCGCGGCGGTGTTGAGCCGAGATGGACGCGGCCGCCGACGAGAGCAGCGGGTCGTCCTTTGACGGCGTTGTGGATGGGGAGGTGCCAAGCAAAAAGGCGGCGGCGGCGCCCGAGATTGGGTCGGTGGCGCTCGATGTTGGGAACCCGAGTGCGTGTGCGGCGGGCGCGCCAAAAGTGACGACCGAATAAGATGCCTCTGGCATACCTGCCGTTGTGAGAGACGACGACGATGAGGAAGAGCCCGTGGTGGCCGTGGACATCATGCTGGATCGCTTGGACCGCGGCGTCGAAGTGGTCACTGTGGGCGGAGTCGCAGGCGCGGGCGGTGGAATCACCTTCATGCGCTGCACGGCGCAATTCAGCGTCACCATTTGCCACTTGTGTCCTGCCTTTTCCACCGACTTGCGAAGCACCTGCCCCTTGCCCGCTCCATTGTTGATTAAAGCGTGTACGGCCTCGAGTTCTTCGCGGTAGTAGCACATGAGCTGCTTGTGGACATCAAGCTGCCGCAGCCGAATCACGTGCATATCGGGCGCCGTCGGAATCAGACTTGTGAACCGGTCAATAAGGCGTTGTTCATCGGCAATCCACGTTTGCAGCAGCATCCGCGGAATGTGCATGGCCCACGGCGATTCGGCGAGCGATTCGTGGATGAGAGTCGAGTCATTGAGCTGGTAGTATTGTTCCTCGCAAGCAGCAGGCAGGGCAAGTGACATTTGGGGTGACGATGGTGGGATCGTGAGTGGAGTCCAGAGTAAAGTGCCGATAGTCAAGGAAACCTTGTCAAATTGGAGGGTGATCTTGTGTTGACCGGCACCGCCATTGGAGCGCAAGTCGAGCGGCACATCGAGGAGCTTGAGTTCGGCAAAGGTCGACGGCTGGACAAGGTACAGCGACAAGAGCGTTTCGTGGTGCAGGTTGGCAGGCAAACACGTGAAGAACGGGGTGGCAGCGAATTGCTTGATGGGCACCCACTCGGTGCACGAGGATCCGCGAGCTTGGTGCAGCGCGAGGTACAGGTAGCAGTCCTTGGAAATGATGACTTCGACACCGCCAGTTGCAGGAGAGGCCGGGAGCGAGATGGGGAGGGACATGGTGACGCGCAGTGAAAAAGCGAGGGCGTGCGAGAAGGATGAGGCGCCGGGGGTATACATGAGGGACGACTTTTCGTTACCACCGGTTGCCGAGTCCATGGTTGCAGATGACATTGACAAGTCACGGGTAGCATCGGTCGTTGCCGCATTATCGGTACCACTCGATTCGGCCGCCGATTTTGGTTGTGTCGCCTGGTGGTCACCGCCGTCCAGCTGCCTGACACGCTCCTTGAGGTAGCGAATCTCATTGTGAAGATAGTCGATGGAGGCCGACGCCAAGTGCTGAATCCAGGCCAGGCGCTCCTCGGACGTTGGGGCAACTAGTTCGTACGTGCGCCGAGACGATTCCGACAGAAAGCTGATCTTCATGTGGTAGGGCGGGATTTCAGACTGCGACTCCATGCCGGCAGGCACGGGGCCAGTTGCAACTTGGCAATGCTCGAGAAGGACAAATCCCGCCGGGACCGTGTCCTGTACCACCACGTGGATGGAGAACGAAAGGTCAGCATCATGGGGAGAGCAGGACGTGCGCACAATGGCTCAGCGAGGGTGATGGCGTACGTCGGGTGTATGAAAGTAGAACAACAGGTTTCCCTTGAGGACAAACCAGCGCTTCTTGTACAGGGTGGCCAGCGGCGGCAGTGTAAACGACGGCACGGACGAGATGGGGAGGTCGCCGCGCTTCCACAGCCAGCCCCGGTAAGTCACGGACGTGGGCGACGAGCCAAAGTAGGCAACGTCGGCTTCGTTGAATCGCATGGTGTGTTTGTGCTGCGAATGAATTGCTGTCCGTCTTTCGTCCTCGTCCTCGTTCGTGCTGCTGCTGCTGCAGATAATTCTGGTTCAGGGTATCGTCGCACGGGCCGTGAGCGGTCAGAAGGAGACTTGCATGGAGGGTCTAAACGACTCTACGGATGCTTCATGTGCTGGACTAGGATCCATGGAAGAGGAACGGAAATACACGCTGTTGTCTTGCGGTCGACGCTTGCAATTGGCCGCCAGGTTGACGGCAACGCAGCCTCTTTTTCAGGAGGCGGTCTCAATTACTGCCCTTCAACTCCTGGAGCGCTTGTCATTGGTGCGGAACCAGCCAGATTCTGGTCAAAACATTGTGAAGAAATTTAGAGGGCAAATGTGGATTAGCCAATCAACAACAGCGCCATGGCGCAGTGGAAGCGCGCCAGGCTCATAACCTGGAGGTCCTCTGATCGAAACGGAGTGGCGCTATTTTTCTTTTTGCTAGCCTGCATTGCTTCCATGTTGTATGGTTTTGGGAAAATTTTCGGTGATCATGAGGTCGATGGGTCGATCCTTGATGCGCGGATTGCTCAGAGGCGGACTGTTTTGTTCTGGTCATCCAAGTGGACAAGATGACCAATGCAGCCGCAATCTGGCAGCAGATGTCTCTCAGTACCCCTGCTAGCAGGACATTGTATTCCTGTGGCCATTCATGAGCAAAAGACGGACACCAGGCTCCTTAGACCTTTGCGCGATTCTGATGATACATGAGCGAAATGGGGTTACCACCGAACACGTTCAAGTGGCCGAGCGGTCTAAGGCGGCAGCTTCAGGTGCTGTTCTCTTCGGAGGCGCAGGTTCGAACCCTGCCTTGGACATTGAGTCTGCTTTTTCTTGCGCTGTCTCTTTCTGCTTTGCGTACATCTGCCACTTTTTGCTTTTGGCAACAGTTGAGGTCAAGATATATATTTTCGTGTCATTGTCCACCCAGCACTCAGCAGCACCGTATCGCCATCCAGCAGCTCTGCGTCGCACGCATGGTGACTCCGGTCAAGCCAAGTGACTTTTGAAATGAACACCGCAAGAATAGGCCTTCGAAGCAACAAGTCATCTTAGTATAGTGGTTAGTACTCCACGTTGTGGCCGTGGCGGCCCCAGTTCGATTCTGGGAGGTGACAAGCTCATGAGGAACGTGCTTTCTTTGCAGTTTTGATACGTTATTTCGTGGGTTGATAAAAAACGCAACGTTCAAAACAGTCTGTAAGGTCATACTGAGATTCGAACTCAGGTCCCGAGATTCAGAGTCTCGTGTGCTAACCGACTACACCATACGACCGCGTTATTAAATGGTCTGTTTCAAGCCACCGAGATCCCCTAACCCCTGCGATGTGCATATGTGTCCCAGTCCTAAGGCCCAAGAAGCTCCAAGTAGCAGTTCGTTGTTGAGCGTTTTCCTGTGCGCTCCTGTTTGTGCCTGCCCCGTGAGCAGCAGATGGCTCCAAACGCTCAGCGACCGATGGGCAGGCAAGCAAGTCAACGTCTTGGTCTGTTCCCTTCCGCAATCCGAAGAGTCCGACTGGTGCAGGCAGGGCTCGAACACGGGCCCGTGAGTGTTGAGGAAAATTGCCAAACTTTTTGTTGGAAGAAATGCTTTAGTGAAGGGGGTCGAAACCAAACCCCTATTAACAACAAGAGGACCTATGGCCAAATGGATAAGGCGCCTGACTACGGATCAGGAGATTCCAGGTTCGATCCCTGGTAGGTTCGTGTTTTGTCTCGCAAACCTGGGCATATGGTTGGCGAATTGCTTCCCGCCCTCAGTGAGCCAGACCTGGCGTCGCCAGCAAGAGCAATCCCCGCAAGAGTTGTTTTAGTTACGCAACAACCGACCGTGCTCAGCTCCGAGACTCAAAATGTCCTTCCCATTTTGCGTTTTTCGTCAAGCGGTGACGATTATCCAGCGTGACAGCCCACGCGAAAACACTATCACGGTTATTGTAGTAGTGCAGAACTCAAGAATTTATTGAACTGGAACACAATCATGGACAGGCTACGAAGAGAAAGCGGGGTGGTGACGGATTGGATGGGTCAAACCCGCACAACAATAAATGGGCGCGCTCGCATACTCTTGATCCGTGCGCTGACCTACGAACCCCCCAACGAGCCCAGCGGCACCTTGACGAACCAAACACAAACGGAAGGTCGTGTGAGAAGACAAAAGGGGAAGCAGAACAATCAGACCGGAAAGGAAGTGATTGGGCGGCGGCAACTTGGACACGCGGTCAGGAAACAGAAGAAAAACGACAAAAACAAAAACAAAAAGAACAAAACTCATCGAACGCGCACACAGCGCCCTTCCCTCTCCCACTCTCTCTCCCCTCCCCACTCTCTCCTTCCACTACCTCCACTCACCACAAGGTGTCTAACCCGTGCAGAGCACGAGTTACTCCTGCTCCAGGTACTCAGCCTCCACGCGCAACTTCTCCTCGTCCACACCCATACCCACAAACGCGTGCACGCCTGCGCCGACAGGCCGGGCGCTGCCGTTCTGGGGGGTATCCATCACGGAACCGTCCGTGTACATGGTCACCATTGCTCCGGGCGCAACCGAGGGCAACATGACGCCAATGCTGTGAACGGCGATTGATTCTACGCCGGCTGCGAGGTAGCGGCCAAGCGTGAGCGCCGAGGACGGGAACAGCCACGGGCGGAATGGCTCCTCAGGCTGGGCCAGGAGCGGCCACGGCGGGTCGCGGATTGGATGGCGGCGAAGTTCTTGCACGCGGCGCAGCAGCGACTCGTGGAAAGGCGTCAAAGAGTTGAGGTTGAGCTTGGCTTCGACATGCCGCCGGAAGACGGGCTGGCCCTCCGGCGCGAATTGGCTGGCCCGGTACAGGCCGTGCTTGCGCAGTTGCCTGACGACCGCTGGGTTACGGTGGGCAAGCGAGTCGTCCTCGCTGAGGAAGAGCGGCGAATGGTGGCAGCCCGGGTCGATGGCAAATTCGCCGTGCGTGTCGACGACCGAGATGTTGGCAGCGTGCATGAGCGGCAGCAAGTTGGCGAACCAGCACAGGGTCGAGGATGGGGCTTCGGGCGTCGGGTACGCGAGTGGGGAACACGGCATGGCCAGCGCCCATGCGGCGAGTCCAAGGCAAACACGAGCAGGTGTACCAAGCGGGCCGCGGTCGTTGAGCATGACGGCCAGCTCTGTGACATGGTGACGCACAATCAGGTTTGAAAGTGAGTCAAGATCATGAATCGACGGGTGGTGAATCAGAGCCGAGGAGGTGGACCGATCAACGCCGAGTTTTTGCCGAATCAACGACCGAAACTTGGCATCCCATGTATCAATCACGGCGGGCGGCGGCACAAAGTTGCTGGTGCGGTACAGCGCCGCCGGGTAAATCACGTTGTTGGCAAAGTAAACCGCCATCTTGCCCGTGATCGCCTTGTTCTTGAGGAGCCCATGCCCCTTGCGGAGCTCGTTCTCAAACGCCTCGCGCGCTGTGCGCGGTCAGTCCTCCGCTGACAACAACACACCCAAATACCGGAAAGGTTGCCGCCCACCCAGAAACGGGATCGGCTCCCCCTCAACCGTCAGCGGCTCGCCGCGGGCCTCGCCCTTGCAATTGAGGACCAACATGGCACCCTTGGACGCGTTTGCCTTGACCGCCGTGACGCGGTTGAACGATGACACGATTCGCAGCAGTTGCTCCATCTCCAACCGGTTTGGCGCAAAGAACGCCGTGTCATCTACGTATGCCATGGCCGCCAGCTGCGCGGTGTCCACCACCTCGCCATTTGCCCGGTGGGTTGCAGTCCTTGATGGTGCCAGCTCCGGGTCGCCCGTCTCGCCCTTGCGTGCATACAACGTTACCCCCGGGCACACGCGGTTGACCTTGCTCAGGAGCACATCGTCAAAAATGGCCCACATGAGCGGCCACTCGACTGCACCCTGCCGCATCCCGCGATGCATGTGGATCGGGTCGGTCAGGCCATACTCGGTCTTGATTCGTGCTGTGCGGCCCGCGAGCAACGAGTCACAGTAAAGTTCGATGAAGGCGTCGGGCACGCGGATGCGCTTGAGGGCGAGACGGAGGATGTGGTGCGGGACCGTGTCGAACGCCTTGGACTTGTCCACCTTCAGGTTACCCATCTTGATTTCGAACCTTGTATCGGCAAGTCCGACGTACACCTGCTTCATGAGGCCATCCGTGGCGGTCTTACCCGGGAACTCTTCCGCGCGGGCATATGCTTCCTACGGCGGCAGCTTGTTGATGGGCACCAGTGTGCGGATCACTCGCTCTTGTTGACTGTTCGGGTCGCCAGCTATGGATCGTCAGTGTCGCGCCCAGCCCCAGGGGAGGCAGGAGGCGTCACGGTACAAATTTTAGTGCGTCGGAGAGCTGAGAAGCAGGAGATTTCAATGCTGAGGGTGGTTTTCTCGGCGGCGTGGCTCAACAGGGCGCTTCCTTTCGGTTTTTTTTTAGTACTCCACATATAGTCGGTGACACTGTCGTGTTGAAAGAGGTGCTTCTTGGGGGACAACAAGTCACGCGATTTGGATGTTGAGTGCAGATGCATTTCGCATTGGTTGACACGATGAAAAGTCGACAGTTCGCGCATGAGGGCTCGTGTTCACGTTGTTGTTTCTTACTGCAAACGTCAATGTACTGTGCAAAGTGAGCATACTGGCACCCTCTGCACTTGCGCCCAACAAGACCGGTTCCGATTCGCCCGTTTTGTCGGCAACCGCATCGCCCAACGCCAGACTGTGACCGTTTGGTTCCGTAATCTTCCACCTCATCCGCCAACCCACCATGAACCGCTCAAAACCAGTCTCCGCGTCGGGGCTCACAGCGACTTCAGCAGCAAGTAGTGGCGGCGCCTCCAGAAAGGCCGTCGGATCTGACAAGCTGTTCAAGATGAAGGTCGTTTGCTGATTCTCAACCAGTTGATTCGCGGCCCCAAGTCGAGCTGCTCCATACCTTTCATACCATATTGCATCGTGCTCAAATTGGGATGTCCCCATGCGATTCTTGTTGCACCGTCAAACAGTTTATGCAGCGAACGGTTCACGCCGAGCAAGCCAAGCAAGCACAAGAGGACCAGGCCAAACTGGAGCGGGAAGCCAAATGGCGCATTGCTCGCAACATACCACAACCGTCTGTCATTCTTTCAACATCCGCTTTCGGATTGCTATCCTCCACTCACACATTCTACACCCGAATCATTCAAGCAGAAAACTCATCGTCACGCATTCGGACTCGTTCCTCGACTTTGTCCCGCCACCCGCAGCGTCCACGGGCCGCCACCAGTTCAGTGCCTCGGACGCCCCGCCAATTGTGATTGGCATGGACGACGACGTTGATAGCGCCAACACCGCCACCGCCACCGGTGCGGGCGGAAATGACCCTGCACTTGCCGCCCAGGGTCCCGTGCGCTTGTCACAGATTTCAAACACGGACGTGCCAATGACCACGCCCGACGTGCAGCGGCTAAAGGCACTTTCTGCCGGCGCGGCCCGATTGGTGGCAGGCGCAGGCGGTGCAGCAGCGGCGGGTGGGCGCAAGCGCAAAGGAGTGGGCCAGGAGGACGAGGCCCCGACGGCAGCGAGTGAGCCACCGACAAAGCGGAGTCGAGGCAGGAAGTAGGCTTGCCGAGTGGAGTGGATTGTGAGCAACTTTGCGTTCGTGCAGGTGATATGTACTTTCAAATGAAGCGGACATTATTTATTTATCATGCCTCATTGAGCAAGGGATTGAGCAATTTTGCCAAGCACAAACAAAACCAGAAATGCAAGGACAGAAGGACAGCGAGATGAAACTTAAGAACACAGGGAATATGCAAACAACAAAACAAATCAACACATCATTTACTGACAACACCAACACTCGAACACAAGAGAAACAGAAACAACAATCAAGCGTGCAACGACTTGACAATCCTCCGCTTTCCGCCCTCCATTGCCACCCTAAACCCGTTGGCCGCAAACAAGTTTGACTCAAGGAACGGATCCACGTCATGGATGTTCAAATCCCTTGCCCTGGCCGCCAACTCCTCAATGCTTACCAGCACCTGGGCTGGCGTGCCGCCAACAGCACCACCGGCATGATGGGCCAGCACGCCGACCTGTGTCAACCTCTGCATGCGGAGCGCCTCGCGGACCAAATCGTTG